TAGCTAGTATAGCGCTGCTCCCTGGTAGCTAGCTAGTATATCTCCCTGGTAGCTAGTTAGTATTTGCTCACCGGTAGGTGTAACCGCTAGCTAACACTCCCTGGTAGCTAGCTAGAATAACTCTGTGGTAGCTAGTTAATATAATTCCCTGGTAGCTAGCTAGTATATCGCCCTGGTAGCTAGCTAGTATATTGCTGCTCCCTGGTAGCTAGCTAGTATAGCTCCCTGGTAGCTAGCTAGTATATCTCCCTGGTAGCTAGTTAGTATTTGCTCACCGGTAGGTGTAACCGCTAGCTAACGTTCCCTGGTAGCTAGCTAAAATAACTCCCTGGTAGCTAGCTAGTATAATTCCCTGGTAGCTAGCAAGTATTCAATCGCCGGTGGGTCTAACCACTAGTTATCACTCCCCAGTATAGTTCCATGGTAACTACATAGCATCCATCGGCGCTCGTTTTGCTGAGGTTAACGTGTCATGACTGTCATCTATTCCCACGTTGCAGGTACCCGCTGCCCGTCGTGCGGCAGCGGCAGGCGGGCCGGCCGACAAACCTGCGCACGACGCCACCGCCGTCGGCTGTGTCCCCCGCGAGGCAGCACCCGCCGCACCTAGCCACACACGCTGCCTCCCCAGTGCCGATGGAGGATGCTGAGGCTAAGATCAATCAAGGTGGGAGGCTGTGACGTGCGCGCACCCTCACGGGGGACGCCTCATACACCGCATTGACCGCAAAATTTTCCAATCTTTTGGGGGAGGAGGGGTTTTGGGCCGTTCTTAAGCCCCATACAGACCGCAAAATCTCAAATTTGAATTAAAAATTTTGGGGGGTTTGCGCCATTATTAAAGGCGTGCGTTGTCGTCAGTAGTTCTCTGTTGAGTGGCAGCGGGGTCGGGAGTCTGCGTTTCACCTGACGGGTCTCTCCTGAGCCTGGCAAAACATGTGAAGCACTTGCTAAGCAGAAGATGGGAAGCTAGTTCTCTTGTTAAAGCTAGACACTAATACTGGCACTGAAACTCGCCCCTGTCGGATGCGGCCCTCATTCGAGCGGGCGTTTCCGCGCGCGTGTGAATTGAATGGTGCTTGTCGCTGCAGAGAAAATGGAGAAGGACGAGAAGGGGCGGCCAGGCTCGCGGGATCGAGTCGAGAAGCCCCCCACACAGCCTCCTCCGCAGCAGCAGATGCCTCCCCAGCAACCTCAGCAGCAGCAGCAGCAGCAACCTCTGCCACAGAGGGAGCCACGTGTCACACGAGACGAGAGGAATGAAGAAAAGCAGGCACAGCAGGTGAGACAGCATGATGATCCGACAACTTCGTCTTCCCAACCCCTCAATAGCCTCCCCCCCCCCTGTCCCTCTCTCTCTCACTTTCTATCTATCTATCTCTTGCTTCCTCCCTCTCTCTCTCTCTCTTTCGCTCCCCCTCTATCTTTTTCTCTTTCTCCTTGCCAAAGTCCACCATCTCTCTCTCTCTCTCTCTCTCTCTCTCTCTCTCTCTCTCTCTCCTCCTCCTCCTCTCTTCTCTTGCCTCTCTCCATCTCTCTCTCATCTCATCTCTCTCTCCTCTCTTCTCTCTCTTTCTTCTCTCTCTCTCTCTCTCTCTCTCTCTCTGCCTCTCTCGCTCTATCTTTCTATTTCTCTCCTTGCCAGTGTCCACCCCCTCTCTCTCTATCGGTGGCTTGCTCTCTCCCACTACTCTGTCTCGCTTTCTCTCTCTGTCTCTTTTGGCACCGTTTCTCTAACTCCTTATTATGTTGTGCTTTTCATGAGCCTCCTCTTCCTATCCAGTCTATGTTTGGTGTGGTAATTCTGTATATTTGCTGACTGTAGGATGCATCCGCTAAGGCCAATTCAACACCACAAGCGCCCAAGAGTCCAGATGCCAATAAACAGGGCAAAGGTAAGATTGCGAATGGCATTTCGATCAGGGAGAGACACGACATAACTGAGAAACCGGGGACCGACAGTAGTTAGGGGGCGCGTATAAGATCCGGGTCTATTTTCCTATAGCTGCTCCAGTGACCTTGACCTACTTTGAGTGACCAATGTGTTGAGGTGTGTTGAGGTCAACAACCAGTTGACCTCGAACTGGGTTTGCAAAAGGGTTTCACAGTTGTTTAGTGCATGTCACTATGGTCGGAAGCCAATAAATGGAATCCTTTGACGCAGCTGAATGGTTGCTGTCCGTATTCGCCACCTGAATATTTAACTACAGCGCTTCGTTCAAATTTTGCTTTTTTTTCAGGACGAGATGAGCAAATAGCAGAATTAAAAAGGTTTAGCACGGAATTCAAGGTGAGTTGTGAACTGTGAAGCAGTGAGCTGTATGCCTGCTCGCGCTGGCTGGAGAGACAAAGGGAAGTGTAGTGCACGGAAGAAAGCCCTAGTATCTGCTAGACGGTGAAACGTACGTCATTTTTGCGTTTCAGTTGTCGGAGGAGGGCAAGGAGAAGGCAGCGGAGGCGGCGGCGGCCGAAGAAAGGTCCCAAGATACCACTCCTAAAGGCACAGAGTAAGTGGCAGAGACTTGGCGGTGAATGATTCTCCAATCATTCTCGTAATGAAGCGAGCACGTTTCTCTCACATGTCCCTCCTGCACCCCACAGTGCAGTACGTACATGTCAGGGTTTCTTCTGAGGGGAAATTAGACAAAGGAGGTAATGGCCAGTTTTTTGAAAAAAAGGCGCATGATGGATTCAAAGGCGTGCCGTACAGTAGGCATGCATGCAAACGTTGCAGGCGGATGCGGGGGGGAGAGAGGGAGAGCTGGGGGGGGGGATTTTTGGGAGTCTCCCCCAGCAAAATTTTTAAAATTTTAATGTCTTAGACTGCATTTGAGGCACCTTGAAACAATTTTCACAACGGCGATGTTAAATTTGACAATGGCGGTGCGCCACTGTGCCTCTTATGTATAAGAAACCCTGCATGTATGCCTAGAACTGCGTCACAAACGTACATGCAGGCGTGAGCCTCGATTTGTATCGCTTCCTGCTCATCCAGCAGTTTCCAGTGATTTGTGAAATGTGTGCCAGTCCACCGTGAACAAGGACGGTGCATGCCTGCTCGCTGCAGACTTTGTGGCGGTACCATTCCGCCACGACTGTGGGTTGTGCCGCATAATAATTCACATACCTTGTCTCTTCTAGAACGTTAAAGAAGTCCGTGTTGAACCCAAATGCGAAAGAGTTTACTCTAAATCCGAATGCGAAGGAGTTTGTCTTTGCACCCGTGAGTATACGCACCGTGCGTCACCGTGTCACGCGCCACCTATCTCCGCACACAAGGAAGTGCTGAGAAGCAACAGCATGTTGAACACGCGAGAAGCTCGGAATGTCGAGCCCTCGTTAACGCCGCTCTCTTGTTTTTTTCCCCACTCGCAGAAGCAGCCTCCGCCACCGATCCCGACTCCTCCGCTGCGGCCGCAGGCGCAGAGTCCTGTGATTGCGTCGCCGCATGCGAACATGTACGTTCAGGGGCCGGGCCAGGCCGGCCACATGGTTCAGCCATACATCCTAGCGCCGAACGCGATGCATCAGGCGAATATCGCCAACCAGCAGTATCTCAGCAACTCGGCGCCGAGGATGCGCAAGTGTGAGTCACCGCCGCAGTGTAGTCGCTCCTCTCGCCTCTGCCGCCAACGTCTGCTCTTTTGTTGCCTCTTTTGCGCAACTTTTTTTGTTCTACTGCGCAACTTTTGTGTGACTCTTGCTCTGCCGCGTTGTTCCTGTGTCCGTGCGCAGCCCTGCAAGGTCTAGTTTAAGAGAGGTTCCCAGTCTCGAGTTGGTGCACGGGACTGGTTCGACCGTCCTATCTGCTGGTGTGCACTTGATACGAATTTGTTTCTGACAATGGCAGTAGAAGTGACTACTGTGTTACAACATCGGGAGGGTAGGGGGAAGGATGATGACCTCACCATGTAGAACTACCCTCCCGTCACTGTACTAAAACAACACGGTTGCTGACATCCTATGCTCCACAAGGGGCCGGAAGGGAAGAGTTGAACACCCACTAACCTAGTTTTACAAAGACGATTTTTGTAATGCGATAGGCTCAGGCTACAAGAATGCGCGTGCCTGCCGTCTGGTTTTTACTCGGGTTCAGTAATAGCGTGTTTGTGTAGGAATGCCTTCGTCAGCACGATTTTCATTGTTTTGTAGTCGGGGTTGACTTAAGTGGCCTGATTCTGGCATGGCTTCTTTGACAGCTTTGCCACTCTCGTACACAGAGATGTCCAATGAATGCTGCCTCCCTATCTCGCACATGCACGCACACAGCCATGTCTGACAATGTTGGATCTCTTTGTCGCACACGGCCGTGCATAACCAAAATGCTCTCGCATTCTCACACACGTATATATCGCAGCCTAACTAAGATCGGTTTTCTCTTGCACAGAACCATGCATTCTATCACGTTGCACTTTCTCGCGGACAACACATATCCGTGCGTAACCGAGGTATTTTCTCTCTCTTGCACACAACCCTGCCTAACCTAGGTATTTTCTGCCTCGTGCACAGCCAAACCTAACCAAGATGTTTTCTCTCTCGCACGCAGCCATGCCTAACCAGGGTTACCGGACGGACCACACACCACCGTCAGCGCAGGCAGCCGCTGGCGCCCCCATACTTGCCCCGGCGACATTCACGGCCAACCCTGCGCAGTTTCAGCAGCAGCCTCAGGGTATGGGCGCCATCCCGGGGCATGGGGTGCCGCAGCAATACCACCTGCAATATCCCGGAGCTGCCGCCGTAAGTAAGATGATCCACCACCAGCGCCCAACCTTACCTACTAACATACCCTCAGTAAGTATGAGAGCATGTGTCGGTCGTTAGCGCGCGAGGCTCGCCCATAGCCGTCCCCGCCTCACCCTCGTCGCCGCCCTCGTAGAGCCGTGATCCTCACACACTCGTAGCCACGCTCCTGTAAGTACCCTCGACGATGCTCGCCCGTTGTTGGCACCTTTAAAGCGGCATTGCGCACGCGCGAAGCAGAGACATGGAGTTTGCCCGAGCTCGTCGAGCGTCAATCTTATTTTGTATGATCACGACGGTGTTGTGCAATACACAGGAGTACTTGCATACTTTTAATAAAAATGCATAAAGTGCTGAAAGTATTAATGCGTTGAGCACACTTGCCAGCTGGTGGGGTAAAAAAAACTACTGTGTCGAGTTCGTTGGACGATGCGTGGTGAGGCGTTGGATCTGAGTCCAAAACAGGGCGGTTGCGAGGCAATTGCGAAGTTTGTTTGTGTGTCATATACGTTCGTAATGACGACTACATACATTCAGGAAGCTCAGGTCGGGCAATTTCGACGTGTTTGTCTCGGTGTGGAATGCCAATTTAACATCGTGCTCCTGTTACTGTCCTTCTGTAGCTCTCCGCTTTCCGCTTCTTCCTGATGGGCCTAATATCTGAACAGCTGAGCGCAGTTATGACGTGCAGTCAGTACATGCAGCATGAGCCGTGCTATACGCAGCAAAGCATGACTACTTGTCATTGTGTGTAGCTAGAATCGCTCGCAATATAGTAATTTTTCATTTCAAATGGACTGCCCCTATGGCATGTTAGGGGTGCTGCTACTGCAGCGATCATGTGTTATGGTACGATTGTCACTATCGTGTTTATAAGATGCGTTGAGCTGGAAGTGTTCGAGTGTTGATCTGAAATGAAAGATTGGCAATCTTTTTAAATGTCGATTTCAGTCGTGTATTTAATGTTGCTGCCATTGATTAAGCATAAGTTGGGTGCATGCTTGCATGCCTGTGCGTGTGCATGTGTAGTGTATGCGCGTGTGTACTTACTGGAACAGTTTTGTACAAACATGTTAAAGCTCAAAACATCGACTGCCATTGCTATCAGAAATAGGTTTTTAGTAAAAAGAATGTGCAGTTTTACACAGTGTGAGGTGTCTGTATTGCGTATACTTGTTACTTCGCGTGTTCTATGGGGAATCGTAAATTGTTTGCACTACAGATGTACTCGCACATGCGGATGATGGGGCCTGGTCACCAGATGATGGTGCCTACGTCTCAGCAGGGCAATGCACCTGACATGCCACAGATGGCCCATCCACTTTACAGTAAGTGTCCGTTACTAATGACTCACAACACCTCTTACACCACCTGTTGTACATCTTTGTTGTTTCTGTCTCTTTCTCTCTCTCTCGCTTTCTCTCTCTCTCTCTCTTTCTCTCTCTCTCGCTCTCGCTCGCTCTCTCTCTCTCTTTCTTTCTTTCTCTGTGTCTGCCAGCCCCACTTTCAACAATCTTTGAGTTTTGCTCCCCTTCTCTCTCGCTTCTTCACCATGTTCTTGCTCTTTTATCTAGTGCTATATTATCTTCAGTGTTAAACATGTCATATTTATGTGTGTACCTAGAGATATTGAGCACGTGTTTACCGTTACAGTGCCGGCGGGTGTGCCAACGCATATGCATCCCAATCAGATGGGCCCATCGCAACCCCTGCCGTCTGTATCCATTACGCAGGGCCAGACGAACCCTAGTCCCATTCAATCGCAGGCTCCTAACCAACAGGTACGTACAGACGCTTCATTCAAACTATTTTTTTTCTATTGTAATTTCATTGCTCTTTTAATTCTATTTTCAAACGGGCGAGTTTGTCTTTCGAATATAAATTAGCGCTCTACCGATTAACACCAGCACGAAACCTGCACATTGTCAAATCAGTTGCTTGGTCGTTGTAAACGCGAGCGGCGGGTATCGACGCGGCGTGTGCTGTAAAGCATGCGGCGCTCGGTAACCGTGGCGACGGCGGCCGCTTCTGAGCGTTTGCGTGCGGTGTACGGTAACCGTGGCGACGACGGCCGCTCCTGAGCGTTTGCATTAGCGTACGGTAACCGTGGCGACGGCGGCCGCTCCTGAGCGTTTGCGTGCGGCGCTCGGTAACCGTGGCGACGGCGGCTGCTCCTGAGCGTTTGCGTGCGCGCTCAGTAACCGTGGCGACGGCGGCCGCTCCTGAGCGTTTGTGTGCGGCGCTCGGTAACCGTGGCGACGGCGGCCGCTCCTGAGCGTTCGCGTGGGGCGCTCGGTAACCGTGGCGACGGCGGTCGCTCCTGAGCGTTTGCGTGCAGCGTACGGTAACCGTGGCGACGGTGGCCGCTCCTGAGCGTTTGCATGCGGCGTACGGTAACCGTGGCAACGGCGGCCGCTCCTGAGCATTTACGTGCTTGCAGGCTCAACAGTATGGCAACGCGCAGCAGCCGCAGATGATGTATCCCGGTCAGATGGGCCAGCCGCCGCTGCAACCTAGTCCGCATCCACCGACGTCACCGCAGCCGATGCACGGCAACGGCATGTCGGGATCGTACACGGCGTCGCAGGGGCAGCAGCTGAACGCGCCGCCGAACCAGACCGGCGGGCAGGGGACGCAGCACCAGGGCGGCTACGCGCCCATCATCATGGTGCCGCAGGGACCCATGCCGCAGATGCAGGGCCAGCCGCACTTCCAGGTGAGAGTGACAGCCGCAGCGCGATGATGTGGTCGGGTCTGCTAGAGATATCTTACCCGATGTGGAGCGTGTTCGTGTGCGTGCGTGCGTGTGTGCGTATGTGTGTGCTCGTGCGCATGCATGCATATTTACACGTATAGCGATTTTAATACTGTATGGCTGTACGTAATAGTGATTTTGCCTTTCTTTGAATTGCTTTGAAATTATTACCGTGAAATGTGGAATTTTGGCTCTGTTCGTTGTTCTGTAGTCTGTGTTTACAACAGTTGTTTGTGTTATCTGCAGATCCCTGCTCACCCGCACCTGATCCAGCCGCATTCTGGCGTGGCAGCGATAACCGTCTCGACGCCCACCTACGCAAACCCGCAGATGACCCCGTATTACTACCCACACCCCAGTGAGTACCTAGCGCACGTCGGGCTCGTGGGGCGGGGCGATCTCGTGATACACGATACGGCGCGGGCGGAGGGGGTAGAAGTTGCAGAACATGTACGACGCCTTGCAAAGATGGACAAGGCACTCGAGGTGTCTTAGGGATGGAATAAAGCTCGGGGGGGCTGGAGTCGACATGCTGGTAGGGTTAGCTCCGGTGTGCGAGTCACGCTTCCTGGTAACAGAGAGACTACGAGACGTGTGAGTGAGCTCACGGCTGGAAGGTAAGGTTTGCGCCTCGTCAGGGCGGCGGCGTTGCGGGCCACCACGATGTCCCCAGCCGAGATCTACAGCCTACTTGCTCGCTGCGTCCGCATAGCTCCCCCCACGATACCAAGCTCTCTCCTCTGCGCAGTTTTTCCCGCGCTTGGTTAGACGGGCCAGGTCGGGCTTCCGTTTCCTCGGATGCGAGCGAGTCGGTCCGTAACCATGGTAACGGCGCGAGCTAGGTTCTTCGAGAGAGGTTGCGTGAAGAGTTGAAACCGGCCGTGCTTGGCCCGCGCTTTTTCTTCGAGCTTTTGGCGGCTGCGCACGCTTTCGCTTCCTCGCAAGTAGCTGGTCGCCTCGTTATAGTTTCTGTGCGAGTTCCACTGAGATGGGCGCAAGTGTTGCGGGGGCCTTTTCTTTATTTTTATTTTGCGTTTTGCTGTAGACTCGGGACAGGCGCCCCCGATACAAGCCTACCAACACCAGCAGACGCAGTGACTCACTCGGTAGCGAATTTGACGATAAGCTGCGTTGGATGTGAGTAATACTTCCCGAGTCTTGAATTTGTCGTCGTGTGGTCTACTCTGTGGTGCTCTCTTCTCTCTTCTCTTATTTTCTCATCTCTTCTTTTCTCTTCTCTGTTGTGTGTAGGAAGTAGCGACTGTGCTGGTGTGTGTGTCTAACGAGGCACACAAGTAGTGGTTTTTGTGTTCTGTAGATGGTTTCACTGTTTTGTGAGCTAGTCTGTTGGCTATCGGGATGTTACACATTGATTTCTATCCCTCCTAAGCTTTGCATGTGATGCTACATCAATTATGTGTGGGCTAAGCATGTTAGGGGCAGCACCCCTGCTTCGAATTTCTTTTAATCGTGGCCCCACCAGCCAACAAAAGGTGCCTTTTTCGTGAAAAGGTTTTGGAAAAGGCAATGAGAAGTAAAGAACGTGTCCATCTGAGAAAGCAGCTGTGGTTCATGTAACCATGGTTACCAAGGTCTATGTAACCATGTCTGTAAGCAGCAGTGAATCGTGTGGCTTCTGAGAGAATCTAGCAGATGATTAAATTATGTGTGCAAATTTCTGTGTAGGGGCATTTTTTATGGCCACGTTTCGTTGGCTAATATTTATCTGATCTCGCCCTTTCTCTCTACCCCCTCCCCTCTCTTTTCTCTCTCTCTCTCTCTCTCTCTCTCTCTCTCTCTCTCTCTCTCTCACTCTCTCTCTCTCTCTCTCTCTCTCTCTCTCTCTCTCTCTCTCTCTCTCTCTCTCTCTCTCTCTCTCTCTCTCTCTCTCTCTCTCTCTCTCTCTCTCTCTCTCTCTCCTATTGTGCACTTTGTTGTCGTCTGGTGATATGATTATAGTTGTATTCTTTTACATGTGTGTGCGTGGTATGTGTTATGTGTGTATTTGTACATGCCTCTGTGCATGCAGCCAACTGTTTACACAAAGATTTTTACCTTTTTAATTCCCACTTTTGACATTAGGATAAAGTTGATGTGAGCTGGACAGAACAGACGCAGGCTGGTGGCGCCTCCTTCAGCCATTCGCGGAGACACGCAGAACGCGTCCACGATTGCGAGTGACGTCTGTCGCTGTTTGCAGCACCACTTATCGAGAGACTTCTGTCGGCAAAACAAGAAGTGTCCCACATCGCTGCCCCAGTGCAAGAGCCAGAGTAATAGAGTAATATAATATAATAAAAAAGTTGTCTAGATTAAACGGAGAAGTGCTATTTATTGCCAGTCCCTGGAGTGGAGGAGGAGGAGGTGCGCTTCAGGCCCGCTGGGGACTGCAAGAAGCTTGTGGCGTGGCACGGGCGTGGCAGATGAGAGAGAGATCTGTGTAACAGATCTTCACGCAGCGGTGTCGGTGGCGCTGCGTGCGCGTGAGATGGATGTGGCGAAAACAGGAGGTCGAGAAAGATGGCACGCGGATGTGCGATCGGGCCGTGCAGGCGGGAAGGAGTGGACGGCGGCTACGACGACCATGGCGACGGCGGCTACGACGACCATGGCGGCGGCGGCGGCTGCGACAACGACGACGCAGAGACCGCTGCCTTGAGACGACAACAACGTTCCCCCCGACCGTGTCCGCCGGACGAACCTCGCCGAGATCGTAAAGGGTCGAGAGGTCGCGTGATGTGGAAGTCGTGCGAAGGTTGAGAGGTCGCGTGATGCGGAGGTCGTGCGAAGGTTGAGAGGTCGCGTGATGCGGAGGTGATGCAAAGGTCGAGAGGTCATGTGATGCGGAGGTCGTGCAAGGGTCGTGGGGTCACGTGACGCGGAGGTCGTGCGAGGGTCGTGGGGTCACGTGATGCGGAGGTCGTGCGAAGGTCGAGAGGTCGTGCGAGGGTCGAGAGGTCACGTGATGCGGAAGTCGTGCGAAGGTCGAGAAGTCACGTGATGCAGAGGTCGTGCGAGGGTTGAGAGGTCACGTGATGCGAAGGTCGAGAGGTCACGTGATGCGGAGGTCGTGCGAGGGTCGAGAGGTCGCGTGATGCGGAGGTCGTGCGAAGATCGAGAGGTCACGTGATGCGGAGGTTGAGATGTCACATGATGCCGAGATCGTAAAGGGTCGAGAGGTCATGTGGTGCCGAAATCGTAAAGGGTTGAGATGTCACGTGATGTGAGGTCATGTGAGGGTTGAGAGGTCACGTGGCGCGGAGGTTACGCGAGGATCAAGACGGAGGTCGCGTGAGGGTCAGGGTCACACCCTGCGTAGGTCGGCGAGTCGTGTGCGGCCGGGGTAGTTATGCTGGCGCTTCGGGAGGTGTGGTCCTCCCTGCGGAGGGTGTGGGGCCGAAGTTGATAAAGGTTAGTGAGCAAGGGCGCAGACGATGTGATACAACCTCTACCGTGCTGAACCCTGGTGGCTGCGTCGCGTAACTAGGTCAACTCTCGGGGAAATTATGTAGGCCTTCCCTCTGCCAGAGGGCGCTGCCGTTCCTGTGGCGCAGAAACGCTCTTGCTGTAGTAGCTGGCTCGGCTGCCTCCCTTTTAATATAAGCGCAGTCGGAAAACTCCGTTTGTGTGTATCAGGCCCAAACGATGCTGAGAGTATCGCCGAGTAATATTGTTTTTAGTGGCAGCAACATTTGTAAAAATTGATTTCTTTAAACCGGAAAAGCTCAGTCTCTTTTTTTGCACAGAAATTGTGCTGAGTGCAGTGCCTCCACCTGGTGGTGGTAAAAGACAACTTTGTAGATGGATTTATTAATGCGATGGAAAAAATAAAACAAAAAATTTACTATAAATTCATGGTCTTTGAATATTTCTTCTGTTTTTTTTCTATGGAAACTGGTTATTTAAAGTCAAGTAAACAAGTTGTTTATCATATCTTTTATTAATACAAAAAATAACAAACCTGGTTAAAACGTATGGAATGAAGTAATGTTAGCCAATAACATGTATGTTGACAGTTAGTGAGTGATACAATTACGTATAGGCAGAGTGACATTTGTTCAATGAAATGCTAATTTAATGTGTGAAAATGAACAGTGGAATAAATAATGTGTGAAATAATGAAATATTTACAAAGTGCAAAACAATGACACCTTGACCGACAGCATAACAATCTAACGTGAACTTTATCGTAGGCGGTAAACGCTTGCTCTAACAATTGTCGAAAATGAAGTTTAACAACAGATAAATGTTAGAAGTGTCAGATAAGATGGAGCATTCGACCGCTTCTCATGACGATGACGTTGATGACACAATAGACCACATAAGCAGTTTTACCCGTATCCTACTATACGATCGCGTATATTACTATGACATTCAGCGCGGATGATTCAAGGGGGAATCGAACGTCGTGGGGGAGGGGTCAGAGATGAAGGTCATTTGAAGGTCGTGCTGATTTCATGGTGAGGACACAGTAGCAGCTACGAGCTGCAGCTGCCGGTGGTTTCAATAAGTACTCTGTGGTGTGTTAGAGGGGAGGAATCGCAGGCTTGTGCTCTCTCGTGCACCTTACAGTAACTTGTTGTTGGAAGGCGGCTGGGTTAAATTGGCATGCGTGATCACGCCGTACTTACAGCAATCTAACTTGTAGAGGGACGAGAATGATTGAAGTATTGGGAGTATTAAAGTATACTAGTAAAAGTGGGGTATTGGAGAGAAAGGTGGCAAATAGGCATATTGAAAAAGAGATGGATAATAGGGGTATTGTGGTAATATAGAGGAATTGGAAAGGAAGATGGTTAATAGGGCCATTGTGGTAATATCGGGGGAATGGAAAGAGAGGTGGTTAATTGGAGCATCGTTGTAATATCGGGGTACTGGAAAGAGAGGTGGTTAATTGGAGCATCGTTGTAATGTAGAGGTACTGGAGAGAGAGGTGGTTAATTGGAGCATAGTTGTAATATCGTGGTACTGCAAAGAGAGGTGGTTAATTGGGGTATTGTGGTAATATAGAGGAACTGGAAAGGAAGGTGGTTAATAGGGCCATTGTGGTAATATCGGGGGAATGGAAAGAGAGGTGGTTAATTGGAGCATCGTTGTAATATCGGGGTACTGGAAAGAGAGGTGGTTAATTGGAGCATCGTTGTAATGTAGAGGTACTGGGGAGAGAGGTGGTTAATTGGAGCATCGTTGTAATGTAGAGGTACTGGGGAGAGAGGTGGTTAATTGGAGCATCGTTGTAATGTAGAGGTACTGGGGAGAGAGGTGGTTAATTGGAGCATAGTTGTAATATCGGGGTACTGGAAAGAGAGGTGGTTAATTGGGGTATTGTGGTAATATAGAGGAACTGGAAAGGAAGGTGGTTAATAGGGCCATTGTGGTAATATCAAGGGAATGGAAAGAGAGGTGGTTAATTGGAGCATCGTTGTAATGTAGAGGTACTGGGGAGAGAGGTGGTTAATTGGAGCATCGTTGTAATGTAGAGGTACTGGGGAGAGAGGTGGTTAATATGGGTATTGTGGTAATATCGGGGTACTGGAAAGAGAGGTGGTTAATTGGAGCATCGTGTTAATATAAACGTACTGGAAAGAGAGGTGGTAAATAGGCGTATGTGGTTAATAAGACGAAGAGCAGCGAGATCAAAGGGGGAAGGTGAATGATGGACAGTGGTGTGGGTACGGCTTAGCTGTTCATCTAGGGCTAGCGCGTTTACAGAGTGTTGAAGGGCCGCGAACCATCGGGACTGCCCGTGTACGGGTAGAACGGAGGGCACGCGTCTGCGCATGTCTCGATGTAGCGCTCCCCCTGGTGGTCGATGTCGTTGGGATGCAGCGTGATGTTGTAGTAGACGCACGTGAGGCCGGAGTCACAGAGCGGCTCCCGATCCGTCAGCGGCGGACACTGCCACGGCAGAAAGTTGGCGGCGTTGGCGGCCGACGTGGGGTTCATCACCCACTGTAGCGCCTGCCGAGAACATATATATCGTTAGGTATAGGCACGGCTAATCGTATTTGCTCATCACTAACGGCATTATAGTAACTACTAACTAGGGGACGAAGGCGGGGCCATTTCTAGTTTCTCATGTGCAAAAAACAATATTCCCTATCGGGTAATATATATATATTATATATATATATATATATATATATATATATATATTATATATATATATATATTATAGTAGAAAAGTTCTTTGGTTGCATAAAGTATAATCCGACATTTAGTTTTACACAAGCGCTTTCATCTTTATAGAATATTCAGATGCATGATATCAGGAGTAGATAATAGAAGACTATCTTCTATTATCTACTCCTGATGATATATATATATACATATATATCTTCAGTGATATATATAATATTGCTAGAAAAATAGAATAGGGTGTTACATCTTAATATAATATATATATAATTAAATAAAATATATATAATATATATATTTATTTAATTATTTATTCATGTATTTATTTATTTACTTATACTGCCCGGGCCAGCAATCACTCTCACCTGCTCCACCGTGACGAACCACACCTCCGGTTGAGCGCCATCTGTTAGCATGTCGAGGAATTCCTGCATCGCTTCCAGGTTGTAGTGTGCCTCGTAGAACCAGCGCGGACGCAGTATGAGCTGCATCGGAGCGCGGTTCGTCACGTAGTGGCGCGCAAAGTTCGCCATTAGCAGCTCGAGCGCCCTTCCTCCTTGTTGTCGGGAAGAGGCACTGGTCGACCTGGTCGAGAGAAGGAAAGAGAAGATGTAGCGTGTCAGCGCAGGAGCTGGGAGGAGGGAGAGGACGAGTGGAAGGAGGAGGAGGAAGTGAAGGAGGACGCGAATGAAGGGGAGGAGGAGGAGGGGGGGGAGGATGCGGGAAGGACAAGAAGGAGGAGGAAGAGGAAGGGGAAGAGGTGGACGTGGAGGACAAGAAGGAGGAGGAGGTGGAGGGGAGGACAAGAAGGAGGAGGAGGAGTACGAGGAGAAGGAAGATTATGACGAGGAGGACGACGACGACGAGGAGGAGGAGGAGGTGGTGGAAGGTGGAAAGAGAAACCAATCTTTCACTGCACAGCCGATGGTAGAAGGTGAAACAAGAGGGAGTAAGCTAGCGAGACACCCTGTGTTACCCCATGAGTTACGCGTTATGTGTTACGCGTTATGTGTTATGCCTTATGCCTTATGCGTTATGTGTTTATGCGTTATGTGTTATGCCTTATGCCTTATGCGTTATGTGTTTATGCGTTATGTGTTATGTGTTATGTTTTATGCGTTATGTGTTATGCGTTATGTGTTATGCCTTATGCGTTATGTGTTATGTGTTTATGCGGTATGTGTTATGCCTTATGCGTTATGCGTTAGGTGTTATGCGTTTATATTTGATGTGTTTTGTCCTCCTGGCTTACGATAAATAGTTTCTTCTTGTTCGATGTCGCAGCGATCACATATTTCTGTTGTCATGACTACGTACTGAATGCGATGTAATTTTGGATACAATATGGACGGCTGGGCGTGTGGGGGAGCCGTTCTGCCCTGCCTACCTGGTTGCACTTCCATCCCATCTTGTCGAATGGTCAACGATGGGTACTTCCCAGACTCCAGGGAAGGAGCTGTGTGGGCACGGGGGCACGGTGCACTCCTGCAACGTAAGACGTCAAGTTCTGATATAACAGGCTCGTCATAGTTAGCACTGTTTCCCTTCGCCAAAGTAGTTAATTAACTTGTGTTTTATTTATCGATCGGTAAATTAATTAATTAATAATTAATTAACAACTAATTATACACTACTTATTTACTGATTACCTATTAATTATCTACTATTTACTTATTACTTATCTATTGTTTACCTATGTAATGCTTATTATACTGATTATCTACGGCTACTATAGCTGTGCGGTGCGCACCTGTGTGCTCAGGTAGTCGAGCGTGTATGGCCAGAGAGCCGGGTTGTTCTGGATGGTGGGCATCGATGCATCGTAGAGGAAGCCATTCTCCTGCATCATCTTGAACTGCGTGTTGCCTCCCATCTGCAAAAAAATGTTATGAAAGAAATGTTACGGCATTCGATTTATTCCGTTTATCGATACATGGGTACTCGTTCGATCTGAGCAAATCTATCGCGAGAGTTGAGTTTTCGTGGACTTTCGTGGGGTTTTTTCTCGTAGGGAGTTCTTTTGTGGCAATTCTTTCGGACACTCTGGGAAACGTCGCTTTCATTTTCAAGCACTATTCTATAACCACGCGCACGCACGCACGCACGCACACACGCACGCACACACACATACCCACGTACGCACGCACGCACGCACCCACGCACGCATACACACGCACGTACGCACACACACACACGCACACACAGACACACACATACGCACGCACACACACACACACACACACACACACACACACACACACACACACACACACACACACACACACACACACACACACACACACGCACACACAGAGCAGAGGAGAGACGAGAGCAGAGGAGAGAAGAGAGAGAGAGAGAGAAGAGAGAGAGAGAGACGCACACTCGCACGCACACAATTACACAAGATATTCATGAGCCCGGTGTTTCTCGGGGTGGTAGAGTGCAGACAGCGCGTACCTGCAGGTAGGGCGTGCGCATTCCCTTCACGTCCCTCACGTTCACTTTAGCCAGGTTTCTTCAGGATCGTTCTCTCATCTGCCATCTCTTCCGTCCAGTCCCGCAAGGTGGCGTTCGCCACCAATCGGACGGCAGACGCTTGCTGATGGAGTGGGCGGCTGCAGAAGCAATGTTATGTGAGCGCAGGAATTCACGTAGTCACGATCTCATAGCGCAGTAGAAACAGCTGCTGACCGCGAAAAATTCTATGAACGACGAGAATTTTAAAAGGAATGAGGGAGGAAGAAATCCGTACCGTAACCCACACAGTAATGTGGCACCGCTGTAGCAGGGTAATAACAGCTATTACTCTAGCGGAGAAGCTGCCGCGGTTGATGTATCTGTTGGCTGGTGGCGTGTTTTTATTAGCGGCTAAACGTACCGGTGGAATTTTAGCGAACGGCCAGCATAATAACGCCGAATATTAACGAAAGACCAGAGAAGCGGAGAACAACGCTAGGTGGCGTGGGCGTGTGACGAGACGATGTAGGGCGGGATAGTGAAGCCATTTATTTTGTGCGCACTCACTCACTTATTGTCACTTACTCCACTCACACTCTCACTCACTCACTCACTCGCTCGCTCACACGCTTACTCGCTCACTCGCTCACTCACCCACTCACTCACTCGCTCACGCACTCACTCACTCACACACTCACCATCACTCACTCCTTCTCACTCACTCACTCGCACGCACTCACTCACTCACGCACTCACTCACTCACGCACTCACTCGCTCGCTCACTCACTCACTCACCTATTTCATGTCCCTGGTGGTAGAGCGACTGAACGACGGCGTAGTCGGTGTAGTCGTGCGAGACGAGAAGGTTCCTCGGATCGGACAGCCGTTAGGGTGGACCTCGGCTCCCGCCTCCGCTGCGCATTCACCTTCCTGTAGTCAAGAGTAAGATAATAACCCAAGAGTTAGCCAAGAAAATACACATTTTCTCATTAAATTTTGCCACCAATAAAGAAGCAAGTGTATACGTTCCTTAGCTTATTATGACCACTAATCACTTACCTTCGTGGTACTGATATTCGTTTACATATATTTGCTAGCGTATTGCTGTAAATTGTAATCTTGCACGAGTTGAATTCGCAAAATCGACCGGTAAACGTGTAACGTACGTGTCGATAACAATTGCTGTAGTGCAAACACACACAGAAATCATCATATCATCGCTCCTTAGTGATCACCACGTCACACTCATCAGATCGCTAGCGATAACGGTAGTTGAATTTACACTGGTTATCGGCTTTAATAATTGCTTAATAGTTGCGTTAGTGATTTTAATTATGTGAAGTAATAGATCTGCATCATCAGCATCAGCGTCAACAACATCTGTGTAATTGCATCAGCATCAACAACGTCAGAATCAGCGACAGCAACGTCAGCGTCACAACAGCAACAGCCACATAATTAACAGCTTGACGTTGATGCGCCATGATGCCGAGGCGCGCGGGATTGACACTTTGTGTCTTCCAATCACAGCCTACGCCGCACCAGTTTTTTTATATTTATAAAAATGGACCCATTGGACCACCAAATCGCCGATCTCAGGAACTAGGGCTTCTGCTATGTTAGAACGGTTTCCTACGATAGAGTTACCACGTTAAATATACGTTATCCACGCTGTTTAGCGCACTGCGCTACGTACTTCTGTTGCATTTTCGCATCTCTGTAATCATAATAAGCCCCGCCTTCTTCGTTGATGGACATGAATGGGACGTCACCGACGTGACCAGTTACTGTACCTACTGTCTTTCGCCAGCCTGTTTACGTTTTAGAAATAATGAAATGCCCGGCCGATGCATTCGCATCGAAGTGCAAAAATGTTTGGCATTTTCACTCGCTGTCGGAAATGAACGAGTGCGTCATTCATAATATATATGAACATTGAAGTTTTTCTTCAAATTAAATAATTCCGAAAATTCCTAACCGCGCTACTCGATTGTTTTAGCTCATAGCGATCTATAAATAAAACTATTACTAGATATTTACTATTTATAGATCCTATGTTTAGCCAATGAACGTAGCTGTGTGTGTGACGTCTTGCCGCGCGGCCTTATGCTTGGCTTAGCAAGCCTCGAAATGGATATCGGAGGCAGGCACTCGCAACACGCGTGTTTGTTTACATATAGCTTTGTGACGTACGGTGTTCGGGAGTTCTGCGATGATAACCTCGTAATTTCTCAGCATTTCTTAAGGTGCATAGAACATTTACCAATTTAGTGGTGTCAGTTAGTCACGGATATGTCACAGTAATTACTAACCGTATATGTTTCACATACGTTCACCTATTTTGCACACAGGCGGTCGATCATTGTGAAAAATGGTGTGAATATTTATTTTTATTGAGACGGTCCAAGTGCCTGTGCTTTCAACAGTCTTGTACGTCAATGCACGTGCGTCAAGAGCCACAAAACTCAACACAATTTCATCTCTGTTATTGTTGACGCCTGAATGCGTGATTGATCAGGGAGGGGGGTGCATGTAAGAGGGAGACATTTTCTTTGGGGTTCCGAAAAACACAATTCCACTTGACAATTTTATGGGCCATTTCAATTGGAAGCTCTGCATAATGGACCCCCAACAAGCCCTTTGACGGGCTAGTCAAGAAATTCAAAGGTCTGTATATTGCCTCTTATTTAGCCGCCCGATAGTTCTTATTTAGAACAAAGTCTTCATTGTTATCTTCTAAAACTACAGACCATTCGCTGACCGTTGTGGAGACGTGCGCCGGGCCTCGAATTTGGCGCACGTCTCCACTGCGGACAGCGCTTCATACTTGAACATCCCCGCGGTCGCGTGCGCATATCCCGCGAACTGCGCGTCTCATCCGCGCGCAGCGCTCAGGATCAACAGCAAAGCTGTGCCACGCAATCTTGTATTATGTCTCTTTGGATTTCTCACTAACTAACAATGTTTTTTAGTAAACATCTTACATTCATACTACATTTTATCATCCTCGACGTTCGTCGTTCGTGGTTGTTAAGGTTACCCAAACCATTCTATAAATAACTATAGAACAGCAATGCCCCCCCCCGCTTCCCTGATCGCAATTTACCAACTGCCCTCCCGCCTGAGAGGTTGCGCTGACGAAGGTCAAGGAAAACTCAGTGCATGACTGCGACTTACTTGAATATCTGCTGGTAGAGATGGTTGTACTCGCTAAGCCGTATTCCGCCCTCGAACGAGATGATGACCATTTGCGGAGTCTCGCTAGGAAGGAGCCCGCCAGGGATGTCCGTACCCGAGCAGCGGCAGTTTGGCAGACGGCAGCGGTTAGGATCACACATCTCAGCTGCGAATGCAACGTGACATAACAAATATATATATAATATATATAAAATATATATTATAGATATGTTTATTTATTTATTATATATATATATATATATATATATATATATATGTTATAATATTGACATCTTATTCAATTTTTACATGTATATAATTTCCTATATATAAGCATACAGAGAGGTCGACATCTTGCATTCCGGGGTTGGGGTTAACGCTAGCGTAACATAGCGTTAGATGAATTAGGACTGAAAAGCACACACACACACACACAGACACACAACACACACACACACACACACACACACACACACACACACACCCGGCTACTCACCGCAATCTCTCTCGTCCGACCCATCGCGCATTGAGCAAAACCATCGCACGAGCGCCCCCTGGTAGACAAGTGCCATCGTCGCAGAGCAGTGTGAGGCAGTTATCTGAAATGACAAAGTGATGCACTATAGGATCGTCGTATCGTCTATATATAGGAGCTAGGTGCATGAATTTGCGAGTCTGATGCGCGGTGCTTGCTAGCAGCAACGCTCCAACTCTTCCTCCTACATTTCAGCTGGATTTTCAATTAGCAGGCCAGTACTGCGGGGAAAATTACGCCTGCGGTCAACTGCCTCCCCCACAGAATGAGAAAGGGAGAAAGAGAGAGACAGGAGGGAAGCGCGTGCAAGGGAGAAAGATATATTCATATATATATATATATATATATATATATATATATATTCATAATATATAAGCAGGAGTTAAAATGACAAACAATGACAAATATGTGAATATGACAAATATGACAAATATGAAAATAATGACAAACAACTTTTAATACAATTTGTCATTATTAACTCCTGATATAATATATATATATATATATATATATATATATATATATATATGTATATATATATATTCATATATATATATGTATATATATATATTCTATATATATATATACATATATTGATAGAGTAGGAGAGAGAAATAGATGGATAAATATATAGATAGAGTGAGAGAGAGAAAGAGCGAGAGACATGCAGAGAGAGATATAGAGAGGGGGAGAGACGGCTGTGACCTGAAGACCATAAACAGTGAAAAGCCCCGCAGCACGTTACTTTCATCGCAATCGCTAATATAGACACGTACGCATGCACGCCTATCTGCCTAGCTGCTACAATGGAGCGCTTCCTGTTCTAGTAAAACCTGATCTTCGCCCTCTCACTACGCTGCGGGCTGTGTCATCACGCCGCCCAGTCGTAACAAATCTTATAAGTTATATAAGCCATAATATAACCCATATATATATCCCGCGTGCGTTCACTGCTGCACCACACGCGCGCGCGCACACACACACACACACACACGCACACGCACACGCACGACGCACACGCGCACGCGCATCGCACACGCACACGCGCACGCGCACACGCACACGCGCACGCGACACGCAAGCGCGATCACACACACACACACACACACACACACACACAACACACACACACACACCCGCGCGCGCGCGCACGCACGCTGCGCGCGCGGCAGCGCGTATTCCTGCAGCAGACGAACTTACGCTCCGAGGCTCGCGCGCATGCGCGGGTGGAGGCGTGACGGTGGCGCGTGTAATCGCACACACAGCAGGTCGCGTGGGATCATGACCCACGCTTACCGACTAACGCGTGAGCCGTCGACGAAACTGTTGCTTTTATGTGAAGATAAGCGTTTAACCCAGTTAGACGACGTTCTCCTTTCACCCGGTTTCCTTTTTTTCGCGTGATGCGCGAACTGGCGCACGGGAGTGCAATTATGGGATAACCCGCAGCAGCAGAAAACGAAACACAAAGATATAGTGCCAGTTGTGTTGTATCGATTTCTATGTGTTGCCCCCGTGATCCCATATAGAGAACGTTGGGTTGTGCTATTCTACACGGTGACCCCGATAGTGAACGTTATGATACGCCTTACTATTTGTTGCCTGCATGATACCGTATAATGAAGGTTATGCTATCTGGGATTCTGTGTTGTCCTCGTGGTCTTGGTTAGTGAAGGCTGTACTACATGTCTTTCAGTGTTGCTCCCGCGTTGACGCTGTTATATGCCTTTCTGTATATTATCCCATTGAGACTATATAGTGAACTTTGTCTTGTGCCATTCGATATGTGGCCACCGTGATACTATGAAGTGCGCGTTGTGATATGCCTTTTTTATTTCACCCGCGACCATTACGAAACAATTGTATGTCGCACTGTTTCGCCGATGTAGTTTCGCATGTGTTCGTAACTTCGGTCAGCCACGATATGTTCTACGCTTGCGTGCAGCACATGAACTTAGTTTAATATTATGCTTAGATACATTAGTGATATTAACGGGTCACTTGATCTATTATGGCGAAAGGCGCTGCGACACGGCCGCGACAGTGCATTATAGCATTGTGTGTGTTCGCGTAATGACGTGGTTAGAGCGGAATTTATTGCGTGTTTTGAACAACTTTATTGCGTTTAATTTAATCTTTCATTCTCGTTAACCATCCAGCCATAACCACCGCGTATCGTTTACGCTGACTCCATCGTCTCCAAACCGGTTACCTGTGCTGCTCCCCCAGCCCCAGAAAACTTTCGCAAAAGCTCGTGGAGTGTAACTGCAACAGTGTATGGTCGTGACGTAACATCACTACATACCGTTACGATTGTGACGTCGTGGCGGCAGTCTCATATCGCGTTGGCGCCGTGAAACTTTCGCAACAGCTCGCAAGTGTATACGCATCGCCATTTTGTTTTTAATCTTACGTCATTGTGGCCTTCGCTTGACGTTCTTGCCGCGTGTTTGTTTATGCGTGCGTAAAGAACCGGTGACCTGGTGACCTGGTGACTGATGGTGTAACTGTGCGTCCGCTGCCGCGGTCACATGCAATAAGCATCTATAGACGCAGAGAGCGATAAAGAGCGCACGACAACGCGATGTTAATTGGATCTCTCTCTCACTGGCGCGACATCTCAGCTGCCTTCTTAGACCACGATATATATATATATGTGGGACATAAAGAAAGATTGAATAAACTGGTGCATGTTTATTTTGTTATAACTTACTTGGAAGTCCGTATGATTAAATAAACATCAGTTTATAGAATCTTTCTTCATGTTCTAAATCTTTGTACTGATGACATATAGCAGTTTTATACCGCCATTTCCTTTATTCTACTTCTACTCTCGCCCCCCTCTCCTTCTCTCGCTCTGTGTATATATATATATATATACGTAGTCTAAATTATGGTAACCCAGTTTTACAAGTATTTAGGGTGGAATGATTATGACTCTTTTGGCCGGAATTCACTTTCAGGTGAAATGATGATGATACAATCAGTAGGTGCTTTGACGTCGGCTGTTTATTTTTTTTCCAGCGGCACCCTACCTTCTTCTCATCCTCCTCTAACTCGGCACCACGGCGATAACAATGGTGGCATTGAGAAAGAGCAGAAGCACGGTTAACTAAGGACGTGGGTTGGGTCAGCGCAGTCAAGATTCTGACCGAGAATCTAGTTCACTGACACAACCCTTGCCGACCCACACATCAACACACTCACACACACACGCGCACACACACACGCACTTATGTGTTATGCCTTATGAGTTATGCGTTAGGTGTTATGCGTTTATATTTGATGTGTTTTGTTATGTGTTACCTCCTGGCTTACGATAAATAGTTTCTTCTTGTTCGATGTCGCAGCGATCACATATTTCTGTTGTCATGACTACGTACTGAATGCGATGTAATTTTGGATACAATATGGACGGCTGGGCGTGTGGGGGAGCCGTTCTGCCCTGCCTACCTGGTTGCACTTCCATCCCATCTTGTCGAATAGGTCAACGATGGGTACTTCCCAGACTCCAGGGAAGGAGCTGTGTGGGCACGGGGGCACGGTGCACTCCTGCAACGTAAGACGTCAAGTTCTGATATAACAGGCTCGTCATAGTTATAGCACTGTTTCCCTTCGCCAAAGTAGTTAATTAACTTGTGTTTTATTTATTGATCGGTAAATTAATTAATTAATTAATTAATTAATCAGACTAATTATAACACTACTTATTTACTGATTACCTATTAATTATCTACTATTTACTTATTACTTATCTATTGTTTACCTATGTAATGCTTATTATACTGATTATCTACGGCTACTAGCTGTGCGGTGCGCACCTGTGTGCTCAGGTAGTCGAGCGTGTATGGCCAGAGAGCCGGGTTGTTCTGGATGGTGGGCATCGATGCATCGTAGAGGAAGCCATTCTCCTGCATCATCTTGAACTGCGTGTTGCCTCCCATCTGCAAAAAAATGTTATGAAAGAAATGTTACGGCATTCGATTTATTCCGTTTATCGATACATGGGTACTCGTTCGATCTGAGAAAATCTATCGCGAGAGTTGAGTTTTCGTGGACTTTCGTGGTTTTTTTTCTCGTAGGGAGTTCTTTTGTGGCAATTCTTTCGGACACCCTGGGAAACGTCGCTTTCATTTTCAAGCACTATTCTATAACCACGCGCACGCACGCACGTACGCACACACGCACGCACACACACATACACACGCACGCACGCACGCACGCACCCACGCACGCATACAC